TAATAAATTAATTAATTAATTATTAATCAGTAAATAAATAAATAAAAATATAGGAATATAATAAACTGTGTAAAATAATAAACAGAGCCGAAAACAATATAATATTATTTAAATACAATAAAACGAACGATAGCTATTTAATATCAGTAAATAACGAAAAAAATTTAAATTCTTTCCAATTAAATAACTATTAAATTAAAAAAAAAAAAACCTTAAAAACTAAATCGCTGCCAGCCACCGTTCAGTGATAAGTAATTAATTCAAATATATTTTTTAAGAATTTAAAATAATCATATTTTGATTGATATCAAGAATTATACCATTCTTTAATTTCTTACTAATTTATTTACAAAATATTATTTATTTTATTTCTTATTTTGAATTCTAATTTTTATAATGTTTGAAATATAATGAAGCAAAAACTTGTTTATGCTGATTTTTTCCTGCTCGTTTAAGCTTAATTTTGAATAACAACTTTGAAAAATTATCATTTTTGTTCGACAAATTTAAATGCTTTTGTTTGGAAAAAGTTTAAAAAAAGCAAATGTCATAGATGAAAACTGATTAAAATTGTCAAAATAAGCCTAACTATTTGAATTTTTGAATAGTAAAAAATTAATCTTTATCTTAGAGTTAAAATAGTGTAAAATTACATTTAAATAATGCAAAAATAGTTTTACATACAATCAAAACAAATTTGTGCAGTCTGAATATGCTTAAATTGTCAAACATAAAAAAGTGAAACGTTGTCACTGAACGTGATTTAAGTCTGCCTTTTGATGATGATCACGTTTTAATCATTGATTTAGATATAAATAAGTATTCATTAATAATCAGAAATCTTAAATTAAAAGTGATGGATAATCAAAAACTTATTCATTATAATGTTCTGACAAATGAAAATTGAAAATCTATTAAATAAAAAGTGTATATCGTCCAATAAAATTATCATTATTTTTTACTTCAGATGTTATATTTGAATCTAAAATTTTGATCCGATATTGATTGTCAATCATAAATTAATTCTGCACGATATTTTTCAATATTAAAGAATGACATTATGCATCATAAACAAAAAAATGAAAAAATACTATGAAACAAGCATTAAACTATTTTATACAATAATTCCAAGTAATTAATTAAAGAAGTATAAATATTAAGTCCATGAGCTAATAAATAAAAAATTAATTCAATGAAATTTGTAAATAAATTTTTAACTAATTATTTGTAATTAAATACACTTGATTTTATTTTAAAAACTGGTAAGTAGATCAGTTCAAAAAATTTAGATCAAATTTCAAAAATTCACGCGCAAAACTCACTTTCTGCACTATCATCGGTAATTGTTTTTGGTTGTTCAATGAAAACCGCCCGTTTTCTAACCTGATATCGCGGTTTTCGATTGATTTCTTGATCGACTTGTGATAATTTATCAATATTATTTGTATAATTATTTTTTGGTTTTTGATGAATAATTCGTGAATTTAACGGTGATAGTAATGTTGATTTTGACTTTTGTTGAGGTATCAATGATGATAATTGATTAGTATCATGATTTAATGATAATGATCGATTATCACTAAATTCACGAGTGAATAAATTATCAGAAATTTCTAATTTTTCAAAATTTTTTTTAGTCAGTACTGATGTAGTTTTTTTTGCATTACTTACATTATCAGTAGAATGATGTAAAGATTTTTTATAATTTTTATTTACTTCTCCAGATAAGCAATCACGTGAATCTACTGAAGATGATCGATGTCGAGATGTCGAAGCATAGTCTCGACATTTGCTTTCTAGCAAATTTTCTGATGAATTTTTTACAGAAGTAATATGAAAAGAATTATCTGAGCCACTTTTTCCATGATAGTTAAACTGATAAGATCGAGAATCAGTAAAAGGTCGAGTAAGAGTATAGCGTAACCCTTGACCAGTTGTTGTTGTTGTACGAATTATTAAACGTTCACCGATACGTCCCGAACTTATAGTTGTTTTTTGATTTTCTTGAAATGCTTGCTTTGAATTATTCAAATTTTCTTTCATTCCTTTAATTTCAACGTTTTCCTCTTCGAAATTGTTATTAGTTATAGTAGTATTGATAATAATGAAGAAAATATTCCCAAACTGATATGAAACCCATGATTTGAATCAAATAATTCTCATTCAGTAATTAATTGTTGGTCACAGAGATTAATTACTAATTAAATCAGTTCAGATGAGACCCATTACAATTTACAGTGAAATATCCATTAATGTTTGTTTTGCGTGATGCTCAAAACAGTAAAAGGAAAGAGCAAAAAATTAGCATATACTTTACTTAATCCAGCAGTAAAATGATGCTATACATTTAATGAATTTCGATTACTTTCTGAAAACAAATTCACAATTGGAAAAAATGATAATATTGACTTGATAAAATTATCACACGATTGAAGTTATAAAAAGTTTTATTTTTGTTATCACTATCATTATCATTATTAGCCTTGACATTATCATCACTTACATCATTATAGCTATTTTATCGGATATTCTCAGCTAACATTTATAAACTGATAAAATAAAAAATTTTTATTAAAATGTTTCTAGTATTATTGCTATTAGATTTTAATTTGAATACTTAAAATAATCATTTTAATTTTCAAAACTATTATTTTGATTAAAGTTTTTGTCAAAACTTTTTATCATCAAAATTATAACTATAAAAAATTTTGAACTTTTATTTTTAATAAACAAAAATATCTAAAAATAACCATAAAAATTATCCTAAACGTGTATTCAATTCGCAATTGGCATAATATTCTATCAAAATTTGCATATAATTATTGAAAAGTAAATCAAAAGCATCGAAAAAAAATCATCGCAATAGAAAGTTCCAACTTGCCAAGAAAAAACAAACTTTACTTTTCAATAAAAATCAATTTAAAATTTTTTTCAACGAAAAATAACAGGCAAAAATAATACATTTTATGTATTCACTTCTGTTTTACTCTTTGGAAAAAACGAATTTTGCAAAAAATAAAAAATTTTCTTTATTTTAGCCTATATTTATCTCAAAACTATTGTTATTACTAATTAATCAGTTAATTGATAAACAATTAATTATTAATCTCTCAATTATTAGTATTATATTGATTAATGATTCGAGCTATTATTGATCTTTTTGTCATTATAAAATAAAATTTGTAAATCCAGTTTATGCTAACTGAAATTTGAGTTTATGCTCAAATTTCTTGTAGATTTTTAGTAAAACTAATATTATTAGGAATAAAATTTGTTGAAAATTATCCAAACAAAGGTGTTTATCTCTTTTTTAGAAAATACTAAAATATTTTTTTTAAAACAAATTTTTTTCAATTTTATTATTTATGCAAATTTTCGCAATACTGAAATAATAGCAAATATTAGTTAAAATAATCAAAAAATGATTGATTTTCTTGCAAAAGTTATGTATTTAAAATATTAGTTTATAATTTTTTAGTATATATTTAATGCATTATTATTATTTATCAAAAATGTTTAAAAATTAAAAAAAATTCACATTAGTCAAAAATTTGATCAAATTGAAAATTAAATTATATCAAAAAGTTTGTAAAATTTATCTTTATAAAAATTCTTAAAAAAAAAAGAAAGAAAACTTTTCAACGTTTAACCTTTCAACCTTCAGCAAAATTTAATTAAATTTTACTAAATACTCAAAATTGTTAGTAAAAAATATCATATCACAATGATTTTTAGAACAAACAAACAAAATTAATAAATATAATAAAAAATTTGTTATTTTTTGCTTCATAAAAGCATTATTACTTTTTTAATATTAATTTAGCATAAATAAAAATGGAATAATTTTGAATAAAATAATAAATAAT